ATGCTGAATTTTTTAACAATGAAAATGTAAACTGTGAAAAATATGTATATTGAAAATTTGATCAATTTGAAATAGGAATGTGAATTTTTTTAATAACTGAAAATTGCAACCATGTAAAAAAAATTACACTGAATTTTTTTTTTATGTACAAATAATGACATTGAATTTTTTTTAGGTTAAAAATATATTCTGAATTTATTTTTATACTGAAAAAGTAAGCACTAATATACAACATTCAAATTTCAGAGGTATTTTTTTATTCAAATTCTGATGGCACATATTTACTTCCATATTCTACCTTCGTGTACAGAAGTGTACCTAAAAAATAAGACTACTTTTAATTGTGGTATATATATATATATATATATATATATATATATATATATATATATATATAAAAATTAATTTGAATAGTCGTTTATAGACAAGTTCATTGCGAAGTATGATGTCGTGTCAGATCCTGCAGTTCCAGGGAAAATTCATGGCCGTTTCTTCGCAAATACAAACTTGTGTCTTTGCCAAGTATTTTCTTGAGAACAACACAGGGAAGTGCTTGGGGAGAACGGGAGCACGCAGCATAAATGTGTCAACTGGAACAGAAGCGTACTCATTACCTAACCACAGGCTCAGCTTCTCTGGAGCCGCATTTCACCACCTATTATTAATAGTCTCCAGATAATAATAAATTCTTACTTTGTTATTTAGTGGGGAAATAATAATAACACAGTCAGATAAACACAAATCAAATGAACATTTTGCCAAATAAAATAAAAATAAAAAATCGCCATCATAGCCAGCGGTCCTTCACACACGGCTATGCCGAGAGAGGGCTGCTGCAGACACCCTATTATTAGGGCTGCTGTTAGACTCGGAGGTCCGCTGGTTGCCATGGTCCCCTTTAAAATGTGACTTTGGTTTTTATTCCGCCATAAAAAAAATAAAAATAAAAAAAATCAGTAAATGGACCATATAATGATGCTTAAAAATATAATCTTCTCGGCTCAAATGATCTAAAAACGTACAACGGCAACAAAAAAGAGAACTTTTAACTTAATACTCTGAGCCGCTGCTGCCGCAGTGCATGCTGGGACAGCGATCAATCTCAAGAACGGAGAAGTCTGCTCTGATGTGTACTCTGTAAAGCGAGAGGGGCAAGATCTCGGTCTTCTTGTTCTTGTGAATTGGAACAGTACTAGGGCTGAGGCTGATGACGTTTCACGAATACACAAGCACATTAGAACACACAAGTACACATATGGAGAAACGACTCATGTCTATGAGGACAGTCATGTTTCCTTGACAACAATAAATAGTTTGCATTGTTTTTGTTTGCAAAGGTTGCATCACAGACGTATGGAGTGAATTTCATTCCAATATTGTTGCAAGCAAAGATCTTTGTTTGTTAATGGAAATGGAAAAAAAAAGCATTTGTGAAGTGAAACAGAAGATTTTTATAACCAAAAACAAACTTGATTGATTTAATATTATATTTTAAATATTTTCACATTTATTTTTGAGATTGGGTTTTATGAATTACATTCTTTTCAAATTGTGTTTTACAGATCACGATCTCTTCACTTCAAAACCAATACAAATATCCAAGCAAATAATTTCAAATAGAAATGTCTTTTTGCTTGTCACTGCAGAGGAAAGTGCACCTCAGAAGTGAGGATAATGTGATCCGTAAAATGCAATTTCAAGAGAACGTAACCCATAAAAGTAATTCTATAAAAAAAAAATAAAAAAAAATTTAAATCATAAAATGATTAAGAACTTTATCAAAGTTTAATGTCTGGATTACATTTTTTCAAATTTACAAAACTTCATCTTTTTTGCTTTGAATTTTGTTCCAGTAATGGAAGAAAATCCCCCCCCATACTGTGTCAAGTCTCTCACCATGTCCGTTCCTCCTCCCGATCTCATCTTTCCTAAATACTGCGCCTCCACTTGGAATGCATTTCTCCTCCCAATCATCCTTCAGCTTCAGCTCCACTATCTGCTCCTCCGTCAGTCCCTGCATGTTAGGTGGGAGTGTGACACCATGGTCTGCTAACTCTGGGATTTCTAAAAATACACAGAAACAAAGGAATAACGATGTTATCAAAAAAGGAATACCAGTTTAAATATAGCTTGGACAACAAAGAAAACATACAATTAGGGGAAAGAAAAATAAACCACGGTTTACAAGCTCTTCCCAAATCAATATTATAAAAGTGTGGTGTGCAGACATTCATAACAGCTTCTCCCACCTGAGCAGGAGATCTGTACACCTCCTCTAGAGTTTCCCCTGATTCGTGCTAATCTCTACAGATTTCCAATAGTTTTCCAACAAACCTTTGCAACCTTCGCATCCATACTGAGATGGATTTACCTGAACTGTTTAAATTGGGAGTATCTAGAGGTTTCAAAGTAACAGATCTGAATAGAAATGCATGCCTCAAATTTCATATTCAAAACATTTCAACATGCATCTATTTGAGTCCTTTCACAATTTGACTTGTTATGCACTCCTCTGTGCTGTTATTACATAAAACACATAAAATGCAAATAAAAACCCATTAAAATTAGCGTTTGTAGTGTCATAAAGCATAAAACTGGATCAGAACTTCTATTTAATAATCTAGATCCATTTTCTGACACTCTTAATCCCAAGTGGGGTCGCTGGTGCCTGTCTCCAGTTGTCTATGGGCGAGAGGTGGGGTACACCTGCAGGGCAACACAGAGATAAACAAGCATTCACACACACACACTCACACCTAAGGAGAATTTAGAGAAGCCAGTTAACCTATCGGTCATGTTTTTGGACTGTGGGAGGAAGCCGGAGTACCCGGAGAGAACTCATGCATGCTCAGGGAGAACATGCAAACTCCATGCAGAAAGACCCTGGGCTGGGAATCGAACCCGCAACCTTTTTGCTGCAAGGCAGCACTGGTACCCACTTCTCACTGATTTATAAAAATCTTTCGTGATCTAAATCTTCAAAATATCCAAGCAGCTGCAATATTGATCAAAGTATCTAAGCTGGATGAGCAGGATGTGGTTTGTTAACTGTAAGCACGAGCTGAATGAGGATAGTTTTGTACCTGAGCAGATTCTATCCACTTTGAGCCTCCCGTTGTAAATGTCTGTAACCTGCTGGATCACAGCCTCCACAGGAGCGTCCGTCGTGGTGTTGAACAGAAACTGGCTCTCATCTCCGCGCTTCACGTGCAGCTGCACCATCTTTCTCCAGCCCAAGCTCCGAAGGAGACGGTTCGGTTGTAGCCAAAAAAAAAAAAAGTCTGCGGGTAGTCCAGATACAGGGATCCGCAGGTCAACACAGTAACCATAGTAACAGAGGGGCGTGGATTCTTCCAGAACAAAATCAGTAACATTAGCTAGCTAGTCGTTGTAGCTGCTAACAACGGGTGTAGCCTAACTTCTGTTTAACGTTAAAATCTCTATTCAGGGATGGGAAAAAGTGAAGCTTACCTGTAAATTTATTTGTGGACCTCTTATGCGTGGAGGTTTGAATTTCTAACTTTTTTAAAAGCGCAGTCTTGAATGGAAAATGCTCAACTTTCTTCTTCTGGCAATTTGTAAGGAGCCTTCCAACTTAAGGCTATCAGGTTTACTGCCCTCTAGTGGTAAAAAAAAAAAAAAAAGAAGAAGAAGAAGAAGAAGATATTAAGCAGTGCTTGGGTCATTTCGGGTGATTTATTCCTCTGTGGTCATGGCTTTATTATGTAACTAAATTCTTGATGAAACTGTGATGAATAGAATAAATAAATAAATATAGTTTTAAGTTTATCTGTTTGATTTTGCACCACCTATGTGGCTAAAACCTTTATAATCATTTTAGAAATCAACATTCTACTGCAATTTGCACCATATTTATTTTAAACTGCATTGAACCTTTCCACATTTATGCCCTTTGCACCAATTTCTTTTAAACTGGTTTTCCTTTTTTTACTGTTTATATGATGATCACTGTTGCACTCTAAATGGTAGTTTGTTTAATTGTTGTTGGCTTTAAGCAATGTCATTTCGTTTTGTATGTACAAAATGACAATAAAATTTGTCTAAGTTGATTCTGATATTTCATACTTTACTAAAGGTACATTTTCTCTTAAAGTGTTTCAGATTTTGTTCCAATAAAAAACACAAACTACAATGAACATCGAATTTGATATATGTTCTGTTATTGACCAACCTAATTTAGGGCACAATTTTGAGGTGAAAATAAAATAAAATTTCGTTTTAACTACAAAAAAAGAAAAAGAAAACTGAAAAAAAAGGTGTTTTCTCATATGCTGATAGTCCCCCAAAATAAAGTGAACCACCCGACCACCAGAAGTGACCTATATCATAAATACAGCTGTTGTGTAAAGGCCTCAGAGGTTTCAACATCTCATTTAGAAGTTAAAAGTCAGTATCACAATTAGAATTAGAATCTGGGTTTGGGGAACCTAGTGGCAAAACATCTAAACGTTTTTTTTGGCACAAGTCATGCAGGGTACATAGCATTATTGCAAAATAAGTGTCTCTGGCCACATGTGATTAAAATTAATTATTTGGCCTTAATTCAAAACCATTTGGGTAATACAAACAAAAAACCAAAACATTGCACCTCACACTGATACCACTTATTCTCTAGATTTATAAAGCGGTGGACAGAGCGCGAAAGACTTGCAGCTATAATTGCAGAAAAAACATAGTTCTTTCTTCACACTTTAACCATTTGAAAATGTTAAATGACTTTCAAGACTTTTGTTTGTAAAACAAACAAAAATCCCTTTCTTCCCACCTCACAATTATGTGACTTTATTTGGTTTTAATTTGACAAATAAATAAGAGTTAAAGCACAGAATATAATTTTGAAATTCACTTGAACCGCCCTTTCCTTGCTTCACAGACATTAAACAGCCAGAGGCACCAATGGTATAAAGGAAATGACAACGAGCCAAAGAAAATATATAAAGGTAATAAAGCTCTTCTTTGGTCTACAAATGAGACAAGTCTGTATCTGTTCAGATGTTTGTGCCAAAAGGCTTGTCCCATAATTAGTTTTTGTGGTGGAGAAAAACCAGATGCTTCGACTTTTATAAACAAAATGAAAGCAGATAAACTAATAAATTGACACACATGACAGTAATTTAATTAAACGCACTAGATTCGCATTGCCAAACGGTTGAAACTGGTTTTCTTTTACTCTGATTCCCAGGAATGTCTTTAATCTAATGTGCTCTTTTTATTAATAGCTTAATAGATTATTATTGAGTAATAATTCAAGCTTTGAATTAATTAAATGGTTTGAAAAAAAATTAACACCAAAGATTCAGTCAATGTACATTTATTTAAGCACAACACAAACTGCCTCATACATTAATGCGTCATCTGCTTTGCACGTAAACTATGGAACATCGGATATTAACATGAATTACAGCTTCATGAATTCACTTTAATACATACAGAATATGTTTGATTCACAACACAGACTCTTATTTACTATGGATTATAGCCATAGGAAGGGAAACCACCTCACAAAGGGAATAATTTGTTACCTAAAAAAAAAAAAAAAAAAAAATGTTGAAAGTAAAAATGTGACATGTAAAGGCCTGGCTAGTCATCTACTGTTGATATACACACATTGGGGGAAAAACACAACAGATACATTTCAGAGGCGGCGTGTCGGCCTGATGCTCTTGCTTCCACCTTTAACTTTTAAATGCAGTGTTTTAAATTTTGCGTGTTTACATGAAAAAAGCGATACCTAACGGACACAATCTGGAATTTAACTTTTTTTTTCCCCCTTTACAAAATGATTTCCAGACATTTCTGAGTGAAAATGGGCCGTATAAGCATGGATAGTTGCTCTTACTGACCCAGTTTACATCATGGTTGCCTGGGTAACAAGTACCTAATGAGTGAATCAGGACAAAACACTGAATGCAGCTTAAATAAATATTTGAGGCTCCACAAGAAAATAACCTCCTGATTGGCAGAAACAGTCAAAATGTGGAAGTTTGAATACTTAAAGCAGCTTGGAAGTAGAAAACTAAAAATTGGCCGGACCGCCATCCGACTGGACGCTGACGAGTAGCCGTCAGTGAATGGAGAAGATAGGAAAGAGGAGGTGCCAATGACAAGAACGTTTTAGGGCGTGGATACTGATGCTGATCGGAGATGTTAGCTGGTTTCAGTATAAGTGAGGGGTTAAAAAAAGGAAACAAAGAGGTTAAAGGTGAAAATAAAACTTTTCTATAAGACAAAATATGAATATGTTTAATTCAGGTTGAAGAGAGCAAGTCTGACTGCAGGTAACAGGAGAGACTCCTGTGATTTAAAACCTTCTCTCTGTAATTAATTCATTTTAAAATATTAGCAAAACCCTGTTTATCAGCAACTGCTAAAACAACTGACTGCTCATTGCTGGATACCTAGAATAAACCCTTTTTGATAACTGTCTAAAATCTGGAAATGTGGTCTGATTAAGTCAAAAGTGACTTTCTTTAAAAGTCCCTTTATTGAATGACAAATAGCTGCTGACTGATAGGAGCAAACGTACAGGGAGCATAGATAGGTAGCTTTGAGTCTGTCAGGAAATATGATGGTTTCTACTCTTAAAACTTTGTACACACACTCCCGCTCACATTCAAATCAACAAAATAAACCAACAGACGAAATGCACATCAAACACAGCACATCACTTCCCACCAAGGTAACAATAACGAGAGCAGCGGCTCCTCGAAATGATAATAAAGTAAACAAAAAAAAGTGCTAACCGTTGAAGTACAACTAAACACACCAGCTGGCAGCATTTCTTAAAAATTATTTCTTATAGAACAGATCGATACTTTGGATAAACCATTAAAATAAAAACAAAATGCAGGAAAAGAGGAGGGCGCACACAGAGTCTCAGTGCATATTCGTATTATCGGGCTAAACCCGCTGACTTGGTCCTCACAAACACACTCATACATCCAGCAAGTACTCTGTATAATCAAGCATACATTTATACACAGGTTTGCTATGTATAGGATTGGATGCTGAGCTACAAAACACCAGGAATATCAGCTTACAGATGAATAACGATGACTGAATAAAGCAGTTATTATCGAGAGGATGAGGTGATTTTACAGAGGATCAATCTGGTTAATCTGGCAAAACAACTTGTGCTATACACACACACACAAACAAACACACACTGCAGACGTCACAAATCCAGTGCAAATGAAATTACATTCAGAAATAAAATGGCCTTCAGTTCTGAGCTTCTTCCACAGGAAACAAAAGGAGAATCCTGCAATCAGACGATAAAGTGAAACCTAGAGATCATCTGTTCTTCTGATCAGTTCAAATGATGGTGAGTTACCTGCAAAGCCACACGTATTTATAGGAAACATCAGCACAGCCCCACAAGTATGCTCTGATATTGCACAGGTGCGTAAACGCATGACTTGTGGATATAGATATACTTTATATGAAACATACTGAAGACAGGAGCGTGTTTTCTGCCGTAGATCCAAACAAAACGGTGAGTTTTAGTAAATTCAATGACAATAGCTTGAAAGCTGGGTGCCAACATTTATCACAATACTGTTTAGAGATATAAACTCCTGAAACACTTAGGGGGGGGGTCTATAACTCTTAAATATTGTCTTTTTTACATAAACACATTTACTCATTTATCATAGATCTATACATATAGATATGCCTCTTACATCTGATGAGTGGTTAATGTTTGTTTCTGCGGACTAACTAGGAAAAGAAGCCATTGTTGTTGGGACCCTGCAGGGGATTTGGGTTATTGGTAGCAGTTCTGGTTGGGATTTGAGGCGGTAAGGAGGACAACCACTCAGGCTCAGAGTCAAACACAGAGAGGGTCGGCAGACGACTGGGACCTAATATGGGGTTCTGTTGTGTTTTTGTTGTTGGTGGGAATTTCAAATCCTCATCAAATGTGACCCACTGCTTCGTTTGTTTTCCTGCTGAAGGAGGAGGTGGCTGAGAACGGGGGGCGAGAGCTGGAGGGAGAGAGTAGGCCGATGCTGGCGGTAATGTGGGGGCGGGAGACGGAGCGAGAGCCAGTGGCAGCAGGGGAGCTTGGGTCGGATTGAGACTGGGTGATGGTCCAAAGAGAGACACGGTCCGACTGAGCTGGGAGGAGGTTGCAGCTGCTGGGGTGGGGACGAGCGGCTGAGAGAAAGCAGACAAAGTCCTCTGAAGGTCGGATTTTTGGCTTTGATGCTGGACGCTGAAGTCTGGGGTCAAAGCACGACGAGGCTGCTGCTGCTGCAGCAGGGGGCCCGTGAAGGGATTGGTGCTGCTGGGCCGGGCCGGCAGCGGCTCAGCCTGGAAGGGGTTCGGAGAGGCACGAAGAATCTCCTGAGAGCGGCTGCGAGATGGGACAGGAGGCGGCGGGAGGAGCGTGGCGGCAAATGGCGACGGGGTGGAGAGTGAGGATGAGGAAGATGAATTGAGGGACTCAAGATCAAATAAAGCGGATGACTGGGAGGAGAATGACGAGGGGAGAGTGGAGGAGGAATGTGTGAATGAAGGAAGAGAGGGTGGAGCACAGAGAGAGGAGCCTCTGTTAAGGGATTGGGTGGTGAGCCGGGAGGATGAGGAAGAGGAGAACAGGTCAGATGTAAGAGAGTCAAAGGGGTCGGGCTTCCATTGTGCTTCTCTTTGGAATCCGTTTAGTCCGTTGCTCTAAACAGGAGCAAAGCAGAGAAAATGTATATTAGAGGCAACAACAGATGTAAACAAAACAGAGTAATATTACTGAGATGTTTACATACAAACATGTGACCTAATGAACCATACAGTGCTCTGCAGGAGCTCTTATACACCCTAAACACTTATCTCAATGTGGTTGGAACAGACCAACACAAGGTAGAGAATAATTGGGAGTTTGAAAAATATGATGTACCATGTTTTTAATTAATAAAAATCCGTAAACTTCGGCATGACTTTGTAATCCACTCTCTTTACGCTGAGACCCAAAATGACATCCATGACAATTTTCTATAACCAAGTCCAAATTAGAGGATTCAATCTCAGAATAAAAACTGGTCTTTTAATGAGGAAATAGCAATCGTGCTGATGGGAAAACTGCAAATTACCCCAAATTGTTAATCAGAATAGCAGTCAGGAGGCCTGTGGTAGCTATGGGGGAGCTGTAGTGATCCTCAGCTCAGTTGGGACAATCTGAACATAGCACTAAACTACACTTTAGTGCTACATGGCAACAAATGTTCTTGTGGAAACGTGTGTTAAGGAGAGCAGACGAATGAAATAAGAGATTATATTTGAAAAGAGATTATATTTTAATATATATTAATATTTTGGTGGACATATATCCGATATCGGCCAGTACATCAGATATCGTTTTTTTCAAAGCAGCGAATAAAAACATCGGCCTTTAAAATTTGGTCCGGCTCTAGTGTGTACCATTAACAAGAGCCTTTATTTGTTTGTCGTGGGCTGCGTCTTAACACGTAGGTCCAACAAAGAAACAAAAATCACTCTTTTAAAAAAAAACAATTGTTGAAGGGCTGAGTCTATCATCAATGGTAGACAGATTCATCTAGTCGCCCAACCTTAGTGTAGACATGCACCCCGTGTCGTTAAGACTGTCATTGGTTCAAGGCAGGTGAACATGTTGTTGCATACTTAGCAACATTCTCACTATATGTAGCAACATTTTTATTTTATTTTTTTTTTTTACAGCAACTAGTGACAAATCTAGCAACTATATATTTCTTGTTTTAGACTTTGGTGGAAAGGTGAAATCATTGATTGCTTTAAATTTACTGTCTTCAGCAAGCAGTGAGTGAGTCCCCCCCTTTTCTAAAACACTTATGCTGCGTTCACTGAACGCAGCAGGAGCCCCAGAAGCAGCGAGTTTACATGCAAAGTCAATGGTTGAAGCACATCAAGGCGCAGCTAAATGTCCCGTGGCGCGTTTTGAGCAGCAGAAGCAGTGCATCTGAGCCGCTGAGCGTTCAAGTATCTGACGCGCACGACGCGCTGCTGCTCGAGATGGATGCTCGAGATTTAACTTTTGCTGCTCGACACGCCGCATCAACCAATCAGGGAGTCAGATGCAGCAGCTGCAGCTGCAGCCCATTTCTACACTCAGAGAGAGAAAAGAAGCTCTCCTATTTCCCCAATCCAAAGTAGTCACAAATACGCAAAGCCTCTAACAATCCACCCTGAATCAAAAAGTGACATGCAAATGTAATATTTCGTGGATTTTCTTCTTTGAACCTGTTGCACTAAAATAGATCCTACCTGCATTCCATTCGTAAAAAGCTTCAGAAACTCTGTGCCTCTGTTAACCATCTTTAAGTTGAATTTAAAAAAACAAGATTGGTTTATGTAGGATTAGATCAGGTTAAAATAACCCTACTCAACACTAAAAATTGTTATAATGTTCAGCTTGACTATCAAACCTATTTGAAGCATTTTATCCACTTTCTGTATTGGTAAGGTTGATTTACCTGGTGAGAACACTAATGTTTATACAAGAGACGCTCGATGAAGTCCCACTGTTGGTCTATCATCAGAGGACACCAATGCAAATGCTATGTCTGGAATTTTACCCTGGATACACCAACAGCTCCTTTAAACATAGGAGTGGTAGCATCATGATGCAGAGATGCTTTAATTTACCTGGATTTAGGGATAGGACCTGGTCAGAGTTTTACCTTTCAGGGTGAGATAGATATTAACCCTACAGAGCTAATAGGCTGAGGCGTGTCCAAGTGTTAGAATAGATCTCTACTCGCAATCATTCTCTACTTTGTGTCGATCTATCAAATGAGCAAAAAGTTACACAGGTGAGAACTATTTTGCAAGGCGCTGTATGGTGACAAAAAGTTAAAGATACCCTTTGAAATGTTCTGGAATAAAATATTTTCTGCTAATTTAATTATGTTAAATTCAATTCGAAAAGTAAAATTCAGGTTATATTATTTTGGGAAGCATTTCCTTCACAGGGCACCTTTAATATGAACAGACTAAAAATAAAAAACTGATACATGTATCACCACCAACATTCAGCGTCCAAATTCAACACAGATGAATGGATTTTGAAACAACTTCATAGTTTTTTTTTTTTAACAATTAATGCAGCTGTTTCATATGTGCTCACTCCATCCCTCAGGAGCAAAGTGAGATCATACGAAGGACCAAACCAGGGGATGCGGCAATACATTTTACCATTAAAAAAAGTAAAAGAAATAAAAAAAAAAACATTTTATGAGCCTAAAAAAATAAGGCCAATAAGACCTGGAACTAAATAATGCATTTGGACTGCTAAAATAAATAAATCAACGAAAACATAAGACAAAAGTAAAGGAAGAGGGTTTACTGCATGTAATGCACGAGGAGTAATAGCATCAGAGCAGAGGACTGCTGTGTTTTGGAGGATGAGACAAAGAAATGGTTTGATAGAAAGTACCTTTCACCCTGATGGCTTCTCCGGCTTGTGAGAAAGAGACAAATGCATCAGAGAGATAAAAGTAGGAAGAAAGACACACAACTGTACTCATCTAAAGCGAGTCAAAGAAGAAGAAAAACAATTTTCCTCTAAAATATATAATTCAACCCATAAATCAGGGCATAAATCTATGAAACAGACATTAGTAATAAAACTCTAGCTTGTTCAGTTGCTAAAATTGCCATAGTAAAATCAAACAAAGCGGACACCAACCTGTGCAGCTGGGGCAGACTCAGATTTGGCAGCTTCAGGTGGCAGAGCATGAGATGAGCGGGAGCGAGGTGGGGGTTTAGGGGACGCCAGGCTCTGCTGCGGCCCAGGAGAAGCAGCGGTGGGAGTGGCTGCAGCAGGTGGAGTGGCTGCAGTGGGAGGCGCTGCCTGTTGTGGCTGCATAGGAGCAGGAAGCGTTGGCTGCATTGGAGGTGGCAGCTGTGACTGAGCCGACGGGGGAGCTTGCTGAGGCTGCATGGGAGACTGAGCCTGGGGTTTCATTGTGGGAGGGGGTCCTGATGGTGGAGGACCTAAATGGGACAGAGATGAGGATTAAAACACCTTAATGGTCAGGGCTTACCAGTGTTTAAACTCTGCAGCTCTAAAGGTCACTTTCAAATATAAAAGAAAATTAGACTTAGGCTTAGACAGATTTATTTTGACATTTTGTATACACAAGTGTAAAAAAAAAAAGAAATTTCGTTTAGAACAGCTCTCTAGACTTTTTCTTTTTTTTTTTACGTGCAGCCTGATAAGGTTAGAGGCAGTGATAAAAAAAAACAAAACAACAACATTGTGATATTAAGTCACCATATCTAGTTATGGAATGCGCATCATTCNGATTATTAACCTCTATCTGTGTGGAAGAAGTCTTTCTTTGATGATCTTCCCTCTATTTTGTCTGCTAGTCTTACAGCAGAATCATATGATTCAGTGACTAAAGAACATCGTAAAATGTAAAATTTTACGTTTAAAACCCATAATAATGAGGGTTTTTAATGCATATATTGATGTTATCAATATTTGGAAATGTTCCCTTTGAATAACAAGCTGTTGTCTTTCCTGGAAACTCTGCTCAAAGATAATATGTTTGTTTACCCAACGGAAGATCAGGTGGTTTAACTTGTGCACTGGGCACAGGCCGTGGGGCTCCAGGGTGGGTGTCTGCGATAGGCCGAGGGGCTCCGGGATGCACATCTGGAATGGGCCTTGGAGCACCTGGATGAGAGGGAGGCTGTGGCCGAGACTGAGGGGGCATACTGATCACTCCAGCTCGAGGAGGAATATTCTGGACGATCAAAATTCAATGTGTAGAAGAAAAAAAAAAATTACTTCATAAGGCAGTTAGATGGTTTATGTTTTTTTTTTAAATAACACTAAAATTTTATTCAAAGGCAAACAGTAACACAACTTCTTTATTGTTGGAGGTAGACAGAACCTTAAGCCAATCAAAAAAAAAAAAAAAACATACATTAAAGACTATAAGAAAACAACACCTGCTTTTTCAGGTGGGTCTTTGGGGGCTTTTTCCAGTTGGGTCAGTGGTACAGTCTTTCTTCTGATGTATGTAGCTTAAATTCTATAAAATAATGTAATCTGAAAGTTGCACTATTTGAAATAAGGACAAGTTACTTAAATCCTGGTTTATATATTATTGGAAGAGGTGTGGGAGTGGGTAGAGTTCGTTTTCTGAGTGCAGGATGTCAAGAAAAGCAGGAAAGGATAGATTTTTTTGGTCATAAAACCAAAGATACACTTTCATTTTAAAAAGTTAAGATATACAAAAAACGGTAATGTACAATCCAATGGTTACCCGACTAAAAACTAAATTGTGTTTTTAACAAGTTAGTCATCTACGAAATGTTGCTTTAAGTCTTTGTTGAGGAAATTCAAAGGGAAAAACTGATACTCAAGATATACAATTTATAAATACAAAATTTGAAACACCGGAATGTTTGAATTGACAAAAATAAAACAAGCAAAAAAAATAAATAAATAACTGTTGGAAATTATTATACATAAAGCATTGACACAGAGAATATTTTGGCTATAAAATGTGGCTGGTGACTTACTGGTCTGGGAGCCCCTCCAGGGGCCGGAGCTCCTGCTTGGCCTCGACCTGAGGAGAAAACACACAAACCAAAACCATAATAGTTAAATACCTTAAAGCCGTATTACTGAGGTTTGATATGTGGAAGCGCTTTAGGAAAACATTTATTTTCTTTAATAAGAAAATAAAATAAAGACAAAATTAAATTGAAATTTCAAGTATTTCATTCAACACAGATGGTTTTATTGGCTGACATAACTACCAAAGACACCTTTCCAGAGCTCCAGGTCTGGAAGAGAAGCCAGTCTTGTTTAGTAAATCGACTTCTCACCAAACATAAAGGATTCTTCTCACCTTTCACTCTTAGAGCCTTCAAACGTTTTCCCACACCACTTGAATGTCCTCTCTAGTGTTATCCAACTATATACTGTCACCAATGGTAAGCTAACCCTGCCATCCGCACAGCCCCTCGCTATCTGAGAGGGAATCAGCTAACCAGAAACACCATAGAAACAGCTCAGGTGCAGAAAGGCAAAGTCGCTGATAGGCTGCACAACCACACTTTATCCTTCACCTAAGGACAAGAACATTGTGTGTGGGAACACAAGCACACAAAACATGATGATGGTAAGGAGTGAGAGGTATAACCTCACCACATTATCACCAGTGCATATAAATGTCACATGAAGACAGACTGTCATGGAATCAAGACAAACATCCTCGTAAAAAGCATGTATGCTAATAATGCTGTAATACATGCTGGCACTCACCTGCAGGAGCATCTTGCCGAGGAAGAGCGGGGCTTTTTGGTCCTTTGCAGCAGAAAGGAAACCAAAGCAGATCACTATTACACACAGAGTGGCTTACTAACCACCAGATACAGGCGGTCCAAAGGGGAAAGACAGGTTACTAGAAGAACTAAGCGAAGTTTGTGGTGGCAATATGGCGGCAAAGCAGTGAAGCTTTAGGAGATACAAGCAATTAATCTCGCTCTATGGGGAGGATTTTCCAACTTTCAGTCATCACCATCAACATCAAACAAAGCTTTTGTAAAATGAAGATGACAGAAACCATAGGTGAAGATAAAGATGAGCCAAAGGCTGCTATTAAAGCAACCAGAGTTTCTTGAAGAGCTACAGGCTGATCGGTGTGCTGCACTGAAATAGTAAGCCATGCAAAATCAACTACTTATTTTTTTTTTTCTTTTTAAAAAAACATTATAACCAGGTCACCCCAGAACAGAGGACAGCGATTGACGTGGTAGTCGTATCATCTGACCTTTGGTCGTATGTCTTGGACACTCAGTTGAATAGAGGGGTAGAGCTGTCCCCCAATCCCCACCTTGTGGTGAGCTAGACACGCTGGAAGAGGAGGTAGCTAGACAGACTCCGCAGGCCCAACTGAGTAGTGAGAGTCTGCTGGGAATGTTTGGTGGAGCCCTCAGTCAGGTATATGTGCAGCTCCCTCCTCCAGGAGAACTTCTCCGAGATGCCAGGGAGAGGCTGGAGACATGGAGTCTGAGTAGCCCATGTTCTCTGTCTCCATTGTTTACACCTGTATCTGTGGCCTTAAGGTCTGCAGTACCTGTAAGGTCTACAGCAAACCCCGAACCCTGTGATGGACACCGGCAATAAGGGATGCCCTCAAACTGAAGAAAGAGTCCAATAGAGCCTGGCTGGCTTATGGGATTCCTGAGGCAGAAAACAGATATTCTGAGGCCAATGTGCCACTGTGGGGGCAAAAATTTGGGCCTAGCAGGAGTTTAGAGAAAAGCTTATCAGTTGGTCTCAAAGCATTCCTGGCAAGCTGTCCAGCGAAAAGGGGAAAGCAGTGCTTTGCCAACACTGTTTTCAGTGAGAGTGGGGAGCTGCTGACCTTGAAAGAGGACATCGTTGGACGGTGGAACGAATACTTTGAGGATCTGACACGATTTCTGTGTCAAGAGATGGGTCCTTGTGATCAAATTCAATCATCACCCAGGCTGAAGTCACCAAGGTGGTCAAAAAACTCCACAGTGACAAGGTCTCAGGGGTGGACGAGGCCCGAGTACCTTAGAGCTCTGGATGTTTTGTGGCTAATACAACAAGGCTGTGTTCCAACAATAGAGGGATCCCACTTCTCAGCCTCCCTGGAAATGCCTATGCCAGGGTCCTAGAGAGGAGAAACTGGCAGATTGTTGAACATTTGCTTCAGGAGGAGCAGTGTGGTTTTTGTCTTGGCAGTGGACCAGCTTTCAGCCATCGCAGGGTGCTCGAGGGTTCATGGGCGTTTGTCCAACTGATCAACATGTGTTGTGGACCTGGAGAAGGCACTCACCCGTGTCCCTCTTGGTGCCCTGTGGGGAGTGTTTTATGAGTACTGAGTCTGGGACCCTTTACTAGAGGCCATCCAATCTCTAAGTGGAGCAGGAATTCAGTGTGCATTACTGGCATTAAGTAGGAACTGTTCCAGGTGCAAGTTGGACTCTGACAGGGCTGTTCTCTGTCACAGGTCCTGTTCATCACCTTTATGGACAGGATTTCTAGGTGCAGCCAAGGACCTGAGGGGGTGTGGTCCAGGATCTCTACAGATGACGTGTGTTGGCCTGACCCCTCTTTTCAAGACCTACAGCCGGCAGTTTGCAACCAAGTGTGAAGCGGCCAGGATGAGAATAAGCTCCGCCAAATCTGAGGTGATGGTTCTCAACAAGAAAAGGGTGGCCTGTCTCCTTCAGTTTGGAGGAGACTACCTGCCTCAAGTGGAGAAGTTCAAGTATATTGGAGTCCTGTTCACAAGTGAGGTGAGAATGGAAAATGAGATAGATAGATGGATCGGTGGACCCACTGCACTGGTCTGCTGTCGTATAGAGAGAGCTGAATGAAAAAGCAAAGCTCTTGATTTACGGGTCAGTCTAAGTCCAACACTCAACTGTACTCGTGAAATCTTGATCATGACCGAAAGAGAGAAATCCCGGAAACAAGTGGCTGAAATTACTTTTCTCCGCAAGGTGGCTGGACACTCCCTTAGAAATAGGGTGAGGAGCTCGGTAATTTGGGAGGGGCTCAGAGTTCAGCCACTTCACCTCCACATCCAGAGAAGTCAGCTGAGGTGGCTCGGACATCTCCCTTGGGAGGTTTTCCAGGCACGCCCCAGCGGGGGGAGGCCCAGGGGATGACCCAGGACATGTTGGAAAGACTATGTCTCTCTGCAGGCCTTGGCGCACCTCAGGCTTCTCCAAGAGGAGCTTGAGGAGGTGTCTGTTGACAGGGAAGGCTGGGAGTCTCTGCTGAGACTGCTGCACCTACGACCCCATCGAGGATGAAGCAGGACACGACAAACGAACAAACAAACTTTTCTTTACAATGTTGTCATTAATTCAGATGCATCTGTACCGTACAATCTTGACTGTAGCCCTACTAAAAGGTACGGATCGGACACTTAATCTGATGTTGCAATAAAAAGCAGAGAAGAATGCTCCAAGTTAAGGACGCATAAGCCTCTTCCATTGGTTGTGTTTTTTTTGGGGGGGGGTTATTAACATTTCAGGGTTACCCTGCATTTAGCATCAGACAACTAAACACATCTCAGTTACATCTACAAACAAGACTAAAATTACCCACAGTTCAACACCATCAATGTCAAAACAACCTCAATGACATTGATGACTACATCTAAAACTGAGGCAACAACCTCAAAATTCTTGGTTTGTTACCTTCACTGCCCCTTCTACCAAGCAGTAGGTTTGGACGAACGCCTTCACTGCCCCTCCTACAAAGCAGAGGATTTGGACAAACGCCTTCACTGCCCCTCCTACCAAGCAGTGGGTTTGGACAAATGCCTTCACTGCTCCTCCTACCAAGCAGTGGATTTGGACAAATGCCTTCACTGCCCCTCCTACCATGCAGTGGGTTTGGATAAATGCCACTGTCTTGTAGAGGGAAAAAAATTGTTTTTCTTTAAAACAAATTGCAACAAAATGCAAATGTTCATAGACAAAAATAAAGACTAGTCACATTTTTCACCTAAACCCAAAAGCCCAGGTCTTAAATTCATCTACTGTAATGTAAAACTAAATTAAATCACATTTAAGAATATCTTCTCCATGCAGGAAATTTTTCAGGACTTGCAAAAACATGAATTACAATAATTATTATTATTTTTCGATTTTAGACTATTTAAATCTACAGAAATTCAACCACAAAGCAATTAGACATATCATTCCGGATCTTTAACTTTACCTCCAGAGTCCTTTCTAACTGGCTGAGGGCTCATGCCAGCTTCAGACGTTTAGCAAAGCATAGGGATAAAAATGAAAAGTTACCATCTCAGTACAATGCAAATATTCAAAGTGGTTTATCAACATCTCCACAGTGGGATCATGTTTTATTGCTTCTAACTTGACAAAAGCAATAATGCTTCTTATCATTTTACTATGAAAGAGGCTTAAAGAATGCTACCTGAAGGTGGTGGAGGGCGTTGAGGCGGAGCTGGTCTGGCTGGAGGGGCGTTGGGCCGAGGTGGAGGAGGCCGTTTGGGCTCCAGGCCTAGACCTGTGGGAGCACCAGGCTGGAAGTCTACAGGAGGCCCTTAAAGGAAAAATAGTGCAAATTAGCTAATTATATTTACATTAAATTATGTAAACACATTTTTGAATGCTGTTTATTTTACATACTTCTCACCTTTTATTAGGACACATTTTCAGAAGGAAGGGTAACTAAAGGTTCTACAACATCACAATAATAAACCTATTACTGGTATTCTTGAGACCACTTTAAGCGGGACTTAGACTTCACTGTCACATCATATATCAGTAGAAACTAGACAGTTACCACAGGGAGTAGCAAAAATCTTACATGTGAAAAGAAGGACTCAAAGCTACGAGTAAATGGTGGAATGGTGTTGGTTGACTGGTCAGTGGTGTTGAAACAGAAGAGTGTAGAACCAACAGTGGCAGCTGATCCATGGCTTGGCTTGTTTAATAAGATCCTCAGAATTTAGGTGGGCTCTCACTTGGCTGGCATCATGTTAAGTCAACATAATCATGCTCACATTGGGCTGTAAGTGCTCCAATAATTAAGTGCACATGTCCTGTCACTGCTCTGTTGGCAACAACAGGGTTCTTACCAAGAAGCTTAATCAAACAATCCCGCTCTGCTCGAGCAGAAGTACATTAGAATGATAAAAGATCATAGCATAACTCTAACCCTACCAAGTGGAGGAGCCAGAGGGTAAACTGGGGTGATAATTGCCCAACCAAATAAAGTAAGTGCCATCCATGGTGCCACTCTGCTAAAAGTGTCGCAAAAGTGTGAGTTTTATGAATGGTTCTGGTCCAAACATGTAATTTTCCAGTGAAAGTAAATACACCATACGCCCCTGCAGCTAGCTTCACTCTCAGTGGTTAAAGAATGTGCAAAGTATGAATAAGTGTCCTCACTTTATCGCAACACAGAAATATGTTTTATTAATCAGCCATCAAAATTTGAATGTCTGAAAACACAGCTAAGCATATAAAATTTGGTTTAAAAAGTAATAAAAAAAACATTACTTTTCTCTGCCCTGAGACGCTGTGGGCATGTCCCCTAGAGTCACAGAAACCACACTAAGGCCTTGATGCTCAATTCCAATTTTTTTTGTGAAATCCGATTTTTTTGCGTTGGCGTTCACATTTCCAAATATATGCAAATTGTATGTGATCTCCTATGTGAACTGCAGTCACACAACGCAAGTGTCCCGCATGCGCAGTAGAGGATGCAATGACGTCACAGACCAGCGTGCTCTGTGTTTACGGAAGTGAACATGGATGGTAGTGCCGGAGCACATCTAGCAATCTTTCCCAACCATAAACACACAATCTTTTCAAAAGGGTTAAACATAAATAGTGCTATCGGCATCATCGTGTTGTTTTTCTTGCCGCTTCTTCTTAGCAAGACCCAGAATAGCGACCTTTGTTGGATATAAATGGCGTTCAGGTCGGATGAATGTGACCTGGCAGTTCAGACACAGGTCGCATTTGAAAAGATCAGATTCATATCGGATTCAGGATCACATAGCCAAGTGGCCTGGGTCACATTGGAAAAAATCTGCGTTGTTCAGACAGCCATGAAAAGATCAGATTCAGGTCGCATATGAGCCAAAAAAATCGGATTTGGGTCACTTCAGGCTGCAGTGTGAATATAGCCTATGACACTATTCAATTTCATTGGAGCAGTTTTAAAGAAAAACAAATTGCTAAATTCAGATTTTTATTTCAGGAACGATCAGTGGAAGCTTTGAGCATGGTTGACTCATTTACAAAAAGGAAAGAGAGGAGATTCGCTCGGTTCTGTGACTGCAGACAGGCTGCAGCTGCTGCATCTGAGTCCCTGCGTTTTGGTATAGACGCTTGCTCACTAAAGCCGCTTTCACATTGAAAACCCGGGTTTTTCAAAACTGCTAACAATCGACTTTTGGCTTTTTTTCCATTTGACCGAGAAGCCGGGTCTAACCCCCTACTGGCAAGCTGCGTGGGCACTGTCCCTCACCACTGCGTGTCTGATGACGGTATCAAACTGGGTGAACACTGCTGATGTTGACGAGTCTTCTTTATATAGTAGATGGTGACAAATCTGCTCATCTCCGTGGAACATAAGGAGCTCTGTATCTTGTATCTGTATCTTGCCAGTACTGTGCCATGTTTCTCGAACGCAAGTTGTTTAGGCTTGGTTTTGAACAAAAAACAGCGCAATGCTTTGATGATGTATGTTGCGCTCTAAGTCACCACATAGTTTAGCTAGTCAACCTGAGTCTGGTGTTTCCACTGCATGCCGATCAGAGCCGAGGCGATTTTAATGCGGGTCGCTTGCAGAGTCATATATATTATGTTTTTTAAGTTAAGAGATGAAGCGTTCCTAACCACCATTGTCAGGTTATTTCACAATTTATAAATCAATAAACTTTATTAGTCATACCGGAGAAATTCACTTCAGTTTATTTATATAACCACAAAATATCAACATGTCCACTCAAGGCACTTTAGAGACAATCCAATCAGATCATAAAGTCAGATTTTGTTAAAAGTTTTTTATCTGAGGAAAACCTGCTGATTGCATTCAGTCAATGATTTGCATGATTTGCTCCACCTAGATGAGCAAATTCACAGGTTACAGCACCACTTGGTATTGTAACAAATAGGTACAGCTTAGGAGCCACAGCTGCAAAGGCTCCGTTTCCTTAGGTTTTCAATGAGAATTTGGGAGAGATAAAAGCAGCCACTCTGCTGATCGAAGAATGCCGAACCATATGTAGGGATGGAGCATTTAAAAAAAAACAGGAAGGGAGCAGCCCATTTTAACACTTAAAGGCATATAAAAGAATTTTACAAATGGAATTTAAACTTAACAGGAAGCCAGTAGAGGAATGCTAAAACTGAAGTTATGCCATCAGGTTTATATAAAATAAAAATCATGCTGCAGCATTCTGTATCTGCATTAGTCTGAGAGAGTGGCCTGGCAAACAAAAATTTAAAAAAGCCATGATGTCAAGATGGTGTCTTATCTCTGAGAACTGCCTCAACTAAAAAAAGAGGGACTGGATCACAGTATTTATTTTTGAATTAATTTCAGTCTTTGGTAATTCTGACTCATAAATTGGTGACGTTAGATCTTTCATGCAACAGTTGATGTGCTACTCATACAAGCATGCATCCTTTCATGCTGCTTATTAAAGTGTTGAGGGTTTTTGGTTCATCACAGTGAAGCTGAAGACAGAGCTACAGAAACCTTAAGAAAAATGGACCAGATTGTGAGGGATTTCCGTAGTGTAAATGGGACAGCCATGGCAGGAGCAGAGTGGTGTGATATCAAAAGAATATATAATCCTAGAAAGTCTCAGTCCAGGGTGAAGTGGTGTTACATAAAAGTCATATCAAACTATAATTAAATCCTGAAACACCTTTGAGTTTTGCACAGCACACATCAACACCACAGAACAACATGTGCTTTAGAGGGAACCACTACTCTACAGTCAAACAAGTGGAAAAACACACCAACTGCACCATCACCCATCTTATTACCTGGTATTTCTCTCCATTGTGAAGATGGACTTAAATCTGCTTCCACTTCTTACAAAACACAATAAAATCACAGTTTACATGCCAGCAGGTGGAGCCTACCAACTATGCAGGCGATATGTGGAACACCTCTGTAGTGGAGTGGTTTGCTATTCAGTGTAATAATAATACCTTGCGACGGTCGAGGGGGTTGCTGTCCACGGCTTGGTCTGTTGGGTGCAGCAGGTTCCCCATGTGTAGGAGAGGGACACGGACTGCTGCGGGGGGACGGCAGCGGTGAAGATCCAGATGCGGAACCTGCTCCAGGCTGCAGGTGCTGGGGAAGGATGTCTTCCTCCTCGTCATCCACATCACCTGGAGCAGCGGATGAGAATGAAACACGTAGATGGTTTAAAAATTATCTACAAACGTCAACTGTAAAAAAAAAAAAAAAAACTATCTACAAAACCTCTGACCTTCCATATCGTAATCGTCATCACCCACGTCCACATCCTCAGCAAGTAAAGTGGAGCTGGCTGAAGTGGGAATGCTGCCGCAGATCCTCTCCACACTCATTTCCTCCTCCAGACTCTTGATCCATCCTGGACTCCTCAGGCGGATGTCAATCATCTTGTCGAGCACCTGTAGTATCAATCAGCAAGGTTTGTTTCCATCGTATTTACCCAGAAAAAAAACAAACATTTGAACAATTTACAGAAGCGGCGTCTTACGGTTGAACCACTGAGAGACAGCGCGGCCAGAGCAGAGTAACCTTCTAAGAAGGTCACCCACATCTTCTCCTCAACAAACCTGCATTAAACAAACAAACAGTTATCTGGCAATAAGGGGCTAAAGCAGCACATATATGGATCTCTGTGTTAGCGGCTCACCTGATGAGAATGACTTCCCCAAAATTAGCAAACTTATCAAGCAGCTCATCGATGAGTTCATCACTAAAATAGTCCTCAGGCCCAGAGGAGCAAAGGGAGACCAAGATGGTTCCATCTGGAGGCCCCTGCAGAGCGATGACTTCTTTGTAGACCTGGTGTCGTTCCTCTGGATCCACCTCTAGGATGTCCACATCTATTATTGCTACCACAGGTCTTTGGAGAGACAGATTTTGTCAGGAGTATTTCTCTGTTTAACTACTATAATAAAGCCCAGTGATTGATTTTGACAACAGATGCCAAGATAATTACCTGTGATCTGAGGTCTTGAGCTCAGCCCTGCCGTAGTACTTCAAAGTCCCAGGGCTCCAGGCCTGCTCTGGATTCTCCTCCGCCTCTGCAGATGTAGAGGCTGCACCCACCATGTTCATCTCCTCAGCTGTTACAGACACAGAAACATCCAGACGGATCTCTGAGTTGGATGTTTGGATTTCTGTTTATGCCAGCTAAAAAAATGCTTAAAATCAATATAGTTTATACAAGCTGCCCTCCATCTCACCTGTTCGGTTGAAGTTCCACTTTCTCCTCTTCCAGAGGATGCGGTCGGTCCACGCTGGTGTGCGGCACTTCTCACTGGTGTCATAATCTTCGGAGAAGAGGTCATACTTGTAAGTGGGGGCGAAATCCAACTTTCCCTCAATGAAGCCTCGAAAGATCTGCAAAGATATACGAGGCCGTGCTTCATTAGGTTTTGCATCCGTTTCAGCGGATGCACTCCATGTTTAACTAATCAAAGGAAAACACAGCATTTCTTCCCCAACGTTTACATTTCTCTGTCAAATTTGCCGTCATGGTGGGGAGTTTTTTCTGTATTCTGTCATCACAGGTCAGATTTGTTTCAGCTAAAGCAAGAAACTATTTCAATGCAACAGATCTTACCATTCCTGCATTTTTTTGGTCCAACAACTGATCACCAGCTGTTAAAGCATCCCAGTTCTGCTGTCTGATGAGCTCTTTTACTTCCTCATTGGGCAGGCTGATTCGGTAATTAAAGTCCCCACACCAGAACACATAATCATGCGAATACAGCAGACGGCCCTGCGGGAGAGGATAACAATGGTCTCAAAGCCGGCTAGGTAAAAGTGGGTTACGGGTTTGTGACAATAACTGCTGCTACCATGGGGAAGCTGAGCCTGCGAGTGATCTCGTTGTAGTCGTCGTTCCTTTCCTTAACCTGAGACTGGCCAGCAGCAAAGTGGGAGCAGACGAAGCAGATGCTGGTGGTGTGGAACAGCAGGCGGATGGCGACGCCTCCCTTATTACCAGTAGCCCCGCCCATTCCAGTTTTTACTGTATCTACAGCTACATCCCTGTAGCGTCAAGAATGTACAGTTTTAATAAACATAGCCGCTGAATGTTTCTGATGAGGACCTGTGCAGTTCTTACCTGATGAAAGGCGCATGCTGCGGACGGATGAAAACAAACAGGCACACTCCCACCAGCTGCTCCGAAGCAAGCAGCACGTATTTGTGGTCCCTGGAAATGCTTTTTTGGAGCTCAGCTGCCCACAGTTTCTGGTTAGTGGTGCTGAGACAAAGAGGAGATGCAGAACGCAAATAAGACAAGCTAAGTTAACCTGATATTACTATGACTTGTAGTTAAAACTTTACATGATCCTAAACTCTGCTTTTTTAAGATCTGACTTGAGTTCAATTTTCAAACAAGTGTTTCCTTACAAAACATTTAATATCCCTTAAATTAAGCAATGACTTTAATTAATTCTGCTGCTAAGTATTCACAGACATTTCACATTTTGACATGTTCAGGGCTGAAACAATCAGATTAATCGTGATTATCGATTAATCGATTATTGAAATAATCGTTTAGTAGTCTTTTAATCGTTAATTGGAGCATAGAGACTCTTAAATATGCCTTTAACTGACAGAGCAACCCACTCAGAGCCTTAATTATACAAATACTGTAAAAAAATATAACAACATTCCGCATTTAAGATAAAAAAAAAAATAAAAAAATTGTCTGTCAATATGGGTCTATCCACAATTTGCAAAACAATCGTTAGTTGCAGCCATAGACATGCTATTTTAAGAGCACATGAAATAATTGCTAAGCTGCTGGAGACAAAACTCAAAATATTTGCAGCTGCGACTGGTTCTCATTATCTTGTAGGGTCACCTTTTGCTGTGGCTAAAGCTGCTAATCCTCTGGATTATGTCTATAACAGCTTTGCTCATCTAGTCTTTTTCTCTCACTATCAGATGATGCAAAACAGTTCAAACTCAGTTGGACTGGATATACAACTAATTATTAAAAATATTGTATTGTAGATATATGAGAACTTTGACTAGGCCATGCTAATGTATGACTGCTGTCTGGTCCAATCCATTCTTTAGGTGCTCACTTATGTCATGGAGGCTTCATTGGATGTTTGAAGCTTACGATGCTTTTAATCACCTTTGCCTCAAACATCGCAATAACTTCATACCTGACCTGTTTGCTATGTTCATCAGCTTTTATGATTCCCTTTGCTCCCTTGTGATCTCTAAAAATCGTCTCAAGGTGTCACTGAATCCTTTTATTTATTTTAAGATTTATTATTCTATTTATTCATAAATTATTCTGAAAGCATTACTGAGTTTTAAAACTTGAGTTTTATGTTTCTAAGAGGCATTAGTTACTTATGCAGCATAATAAAATAATATACAATATTTTTTTGCCCCAATAAGATACATTACATTTTTTGACAATCTGCATAAAGGTATTGTTGCAAAAGCAGTATTAAACGTATTAAAATACATTTGTATAAAAATCTGTCACAGGTCTCTCACTGTAGAAAGTTACTTAGTTCATTATTAACTCTAATAATCAGCTAATTAATCTCAGAAACATACCTGGCACTGACAATGTTCCCAGCATTCAACTCGACCATTTCCTCAAAGCCAATGGCAAAGATATCAATGGGATTGGCTTTACTGTCTGTGAAGTTAAAGTTCAAAGCTGAATTGGAAATGTACAAAACCAGATAACAAACATTTGTCCAATTACATGATTCCTCTGACTCAATTAGTCATGAAAACATCCTAAACAGACATTTCTTTATTTCAAAATCAAAAAAACAGGGGGAGGATTTGCTTACAGGATAATCTTTTTTAACCATCTTCTGATTTATATCTACTGTACTCTGTACTTCTTCACCCACTGGTCAATAAAAATAATTTGCACCTGGGATTTAGCTTTGGCATTACCCAAATCAATAAGAACGTACCCTGAAACTCAGGAAGCCCTGCCTTCTTTGGAGCATCCAGCAGCCAGTCGTTCAGAGTTTGGTTGCGAAATGCGATGCTCCGAAACTGTTTTCCCCCGTTGACGTTCCAGGTGCCGACGCAGACCCGGATCTGCTTGGGCTTTGTGTATTTGTGGTGATTCTGACACATTCCCAGCAACACTCTAGGAGAGGCTGCAGAGGGAGGAACAGATGATTAGAGTTCAAAATTTAAGTGAGTGTAGATCAGAGAGAGGGGTGGGGGGAGGGAATATCAAATGGATGAGGAAATGCTGATAAAGAAAGGACCAAAGCAGTGGGTTTATAATTAAAATCCAACAGGCGAAGGTCAAAAGGAACATTAAAAATAAAGGGGATGGTAAAACTGTGACCACTTCACTGAAAAACGTTTACAGAGTAATTCTTGGTAATGATTTATTACTGCCTGCAAATACCCACCAAAATATCTGCTGCAACATCAAAACAAAATGTTCAATTTCCTCCTTTTAATCAAATCATTTATGCAGCTACTTAATTAAAACAGACAGTGTAATAAACCACAACCAACAAAGAAACAAAAAAATAATGAAATGCAAACAACTTTATGACAGGGAAGGAAAACATGTCTGTCTGCTGTCTGTCCGTTACTGTACCTGATTGTAAGACAGGCTCTGTGACTAAGATTGTTTGCAAGTGGGAGAGAAGGAAAAAAAGTTAAGGTTAGCATTCCTTCAACAGATAACATTGAGTAAATATTAATGCTGCTTATGAACAGCTTTCTGCTGAAACCCAAACTCTGGCTTTAGATGAATCTATAATAAAACATTTCACATTCTTTAGACCTGTTTTACACAATCCATTGGTTGCACAACTATAAGTACCCCTGAAAACCTCAACAGGGATACCTTTTTTTATGAAGTTTATGCTTTTGTTTTTCATGTTTATCCAAGGTTTTAGAAACATATAAGGAATCCATTACTTTCTTTTTCTTTTGGTTTTAATAAAACCTATTTTTTTTTTTCTAACAGCCTCTGACCACCAGGTCTGATGAGAACCCTTATGTATCAGAGCGGTAAAAACACCCAAAGTGTACCTGTAGAACTCAACATTCCAGGTCGGTTTGGCATAAATCAAAGGATAAGTATGTGTAGAAAAAACCACAGGTCCAATTTTAGGTACATTTGAGGTGCTGTGGAACTATTTTTTATTATTTTTTTTAAAGACTGCTTGACATGATGACATCTGAAGCGGCAAAACATTATAAAATAAAACCTTTTTTCCTCATCATCAGGAGTCAACATTTTCAACCATTGTTTGAAAACACACGGTCAGATCATTCAGTGAAGAAAATTTGGATCTTTTTAAACGTTTCTGTGTGAGATTATTCAGCAGCATTACAAGATTAATTTGTTTAAGGATGCATTTCAAAGGAGACAAAAATATGGATTGCACTGTAAATCTATAAGTATATACAAGAACAGGAGCGTGTACGTAATTTCATGGCTATTCAGTTTATTTTCAGTGTCCAATTTTGGAAAAACATGCTTTTGTCAAAGAGTTATTAAGACAATTCAGAAGAGAGCAATTTAGAGTTTCTACGAGGTTTCCATTAAATACTAAGCCACTTTAAAAAAAAATTACCATAAAGACTGGAAGTGGTGAGCAAGGCTCGAGCCTTGTCTGCCAAATCACTGTTTAGTGTGGATCCCAGCCTCAAGATGTCGATGGCCTCCTGCTTGGAGCTATCAAAGAAGTTGTTTTGGATGGTGCGGGTCACGGAGCGAGCGCCATCTTTGAGCTTTCCCGCCTACAGGAAGAAAAGTATCCAGAAGTTAAAAAGAGCCACACATTAAGTATTATATTGGATGTTTTACATTTTGCCCACAGCAGGATGAAAAAAAAAAAAAGGTAAAACAAAAAGACTGGAAGGAATTTTCTAGAGAGATCCATCAGATTTCGAGCTGATTGTAGTAGATTTAAATGATTTCTGGGCAAAGAGCTTTACATTTTTTAGCTTTCCTAAACCACCACAAGGTGGCAATCTTAACAGATTTCTCTAGATTCCAAGAAAGGTTGCATGTGTTGCTTTAAACATTAGAATAAATGACAATATATACCACCAGATGTATTTAACCAAAGCCTTTTCCCTTCTTTATTTCTTTTAATTGTATAATTCTGCTCAGAGTGAGATTTTCAGGAATGTTCAATGAAAGTATATGTTATCAGAAGGATAATCAAAGGAAAGCAGACAGGGATTATACGGAGTAAACATGAAAAGATTTCACCTATCCCATCCTCCATTCTCATATCAAACCATTAGACCCTGAAATACACAGGTCACCAGAAATAGTCCCACAGCTCAAAAACAACATCGACCATCCTGATGACTTACCACGTAGGTGGAGTGGTCCACAGGTTAGCCAAAAGAGACAATACAAATTATTAAAGAAAGAGAAGCACAAAAGTCTACACAGGCGATCAACTGTTCACACAACTGTTTGGATCTTACACTTTCATTAGCTTCTTTCTTATAGAAACTTCATTTCATCAAGTGGGTTAAAGGAAAAGTTCGGTCACATTCAGAATACAACCTTCTGATAATACTTTAAGTATGAAATTATTGTTTTTCATTAAGACTAATTTAATTTGAATGTGCTTTACCAGAGGCATCCATGTTTGTCAAAGAACACTACTGCCACTACCGGTTTGTGACATCACGGTGCAATATCGGCTGTTGAGCAAGTCCCAGTGCTGTATCTGGTGTTTATCACAATGCGCCATTATGCATGATGGCAATGACCAGTGCACTATGTGAAGCAGAGTAACAGGTGAATGATGTGTTTTTTCTCTGGCCAGAAGTTCAACGGCAAATCCTCCCTCTTAAAGTAGGACAACGAACCCGTGTTGGATCATGAATTGGAAAGGTGAAATAACTATTTTTTTCCCCACTTTTCCAATGTATTACAACATCCAACTGCCATGCACGTGGACATTGTCAAGTTTAACTATAGCTCTCGCGAATTTCAATGGTGAAGTCCTCTCGAAATCTTAAATAATTTTTGATTGCAGGGGTGTCTAGTAGTTCCCATTGATTTTGCTTGTAAAAGGGGCGGAATGGCGTTCGGGTTACGGCACCACAACATCACTGCCGCAAGATGACAGGAGTGACTAAAGTTACTAAATTAGGGCAAAAATGGCAGGTCCCAGACTTAGTGATCGCGACGAAAAATATTGTTTTTATTTTTTTACTGATTAATGCTAAATTCATTAAATCCCTGCAAACATATTAGTTTTAGGTATAAATAATGACCATTGGTTATTCCTTGCTGACCGGACTTTTCCTTAAAAATGTGATAATCTCTTCAATTTCGATATTTTAGTTCGAAACATAGATCAATTTAGATTTTATTATCCATTTGGTTCAAACATCATGGAACGACACAATCAGCAGTACGGTAACGAGGATCTGGGAAGAACTTAGATTACATACATTTCAAAGGCTATAATAGAAAAAGCTGGCAAACCTGTACTCAACATAGAACATAGGTTCTTCAATGCATAAACTTGCATTTTCAATTCCTAATTTGTGTTAAATAACAGCCAATTCCTTGTTGTGAGCCTAAAGTAGAGCCAGTTAAAGATCCAAGAGTTCACCATAAACCTGAGGGGGTTTAAAGGCTATAAAGTAGAGAAACAGCCCTATTTGCTTTTCTTTTAAGTAAGCATTTATTTTTGGGGGGTTTTTAGTCAATTTATTACACTTAAATATTACAACAGCTTTCATATTTTTCCATATTTTTAAAAACATTGTAGTAATCCTAAAATTGTGTCATAAGAGAGCAAAATAGTTTAGACATTAATCCTGCATCACAAACTGGCGCAGAATCCGGCTATGGAAACCAACCTTTGGACTCGATCAAACACAGTACTGCTAATCTGCAAAAACAACCATAAATGTTCTGTTTAGTTTAAGTATTGGTTTGTCCCACCGCATACCTTGGCCTTGCCATCCAGGGCTCCGGTCCCTGCATAGATCTTACTGACAGAGTCGCCATTAGCTGACCACATGGTCCTGAAAACCTCCTGGAACCTGGCCACCAGCTGGGGTTTCTCTGTCAGACCCATTTGTTCTAACTGCTTGGGCAGCATCTGAAGAAAGGAGGCAGTTTGATTAAAATATTACATTTAAACTTGATGCATTAGTATCATAGGAGTAGCTGGATTCCAACCTCAAGAGCAAAGAAGGCTTGAACACTGTTGGTTCTGTCCAAACAGTCCAGGCAGTTACTCCTTATGGTCCCTCCCTGGGTTCTGAAACAAAAATTCAGAAAAACATTTTGATGTCCCATATATAATGTCTACACCTGACGAAATAAGGCGAAAACTGTATACAAACTGAGTCATTAGAGTATATAGTTTGCTACAGTTCTTTCGACTTATAAATTATCACTGAATCAAAATATCAGACTTTGACTATTTAACCTGCTAAACAAATAGAATAAAATCAATCAAACAAACCTTTTTTACTTAATTTTCACTTTTATTAGTAAAGTATTGAGTATATTTCACTGCTCATGTTTTCTATCTTCAATGAACTGTTTTTGTTTTTGAAAAGAACAACTATAATTACAAATCTCTGGTATGGATCTAGTGCTTCAAATATTATATGTATTTTATACAATTTTATTAAACGGATCTCAGTGATTATTAAGAGATTCATCAGATGCCTTTAAGAGGAATACTGACCAAGAACTGAGAACAATGGGTAGAGGCAATTAGAAGAGCTTAGTTGTGACATGAGTCAAAGCTGAAACTGAACTCAAAAAAGAAAAATGAACTTTTTGGTTGATAAAAGCTTGTTTTATTTTTTCAATTGGGTCCTCACAAAGCAAAACAGATCCCAGCCCTATTTTAGTTTACTACCCAAGAACTAATATATATATGTATATATAATATATACCCCTTGCAATGCACTCCCGGACCACTAGGGGAATGCGTACCCCCGGTTGGGAAACACTGCTATAGGAGATCATTATCGGAAATGGGGAACATGTGCACCTGTCATCCATTGGTGTAAACATACCAGTAATACTGGTACTCTTACTGTAACAGGAAGCAGATAAAGAGAAAACAGACACATCGGTTCAGGAGGTGGCGTTTTCTTACCTCACAATTCCTTTTTCCCCTGAATAGTAGAAGAACCCGCACTCTTCTATGAATTTATTGAGCTGGGGTTTCAGGACACTGGCGAGCTTTTCAGTCTTGCCACCTCGCACATTTTGATGATAGTCAAAATTAATCATTTTCACTGCTGTGCCATGCTCTGATGCCTTCAGGTGACTCTGAAGAAGACAAAAAAAAACGCAGAAAAGGTATTTGTTCACATGTAAGTGGAGTCAGTTGTGTCACCAGTAATTTACATTCATTATGCAAACAATGTTTTCTTTTTTTTTTCTCTAATCAGAGTAAAATGCTTAAAGGATCCTGTTTTATCAAACAGTAGGACTGGTTATACTGTCACAATATGTATAAAGATATCAAATAAAGCTTTACACTCGTAAAAAAACAACAAAAGAGGCATTTTACTCAATGTTTGAACTTGCTTTGGTAACTTGAGCCTGGCTGAAAGTAGAACAGGAAGTGACACATTCTGTCTTGAGCAACATCATCCATGATGCTTTAGCAGGAACAATTCATTATGGTCAATACTGAGCTTACACAAAGCAATGTGCAATAACAGGGCCTGCTGTGACACATCCCAGCCTGCAGCAGATTCACTCAAACTTTGCTGTTTTCGGAACGAGATAAAATCCTTTAGAACGACAAACAAAACAGAGCAGTGACTTTTTACCTGAAATGCTTTGCTGAGCATATGTTCCCCTTCTTTGCCTCCAAGCAGGTTGATGATCACCTGCTTTCCATACAACCTCCGCAGCGCAGTGAAATGCCTAAAAAACAGATTCAGAAGTAGGGACAAATGTTATAGGTTTAACATTATAGACGGTGTGACTGTTCATAGAGCTACCAAGTTAAGATGTTTGTTTACAAGTTGCCACTTAGGGAAGTAGATGTATTCAGGATCATTATGGTGTTCAAAATTATTCACACTCTGAGTGGCGCAACAAGCAGTTTAAGTTGAGCTAGTTTTATATTATACAAAAATAAATTGGTTAAAGCCTGCAATATGAAAACAGACTATTGTACCGGTAGTGATTATATTGCAGCTTTGTATAAACAAAAGCTGTGAAAACTCACTTGGTAAATACAATAATAACCATATACTAATAGAGTGGCAAATGCAGAAATAGACAGCTGGGAATACTGTATGTTTTTTTTTATTCTACAAAATGCAAATGAGATTAATTTTAAAACATTGTTTTATAGATTTATATTAATATAATGCTAGACTATGAGTCGTATCAACAAAGAGCACAATATGTGCAAATTGAAATTAACAAAGGTTGTTTTTAGTGCTCTCTTAAAAGTCATCTTAAACTGAAGTAAACCTCTCAACAACTGCTCCAAAAGAGGCTGCGGTGGTTAGATAAGGACGGTTCCAGAGCAACATGGGTGTGGCACAGATGTTAAACCAGGAAGCCCTGGTCAACACCCCTGCCACAAAACAACTGAAAAGTACAAATAATGAATGCATTGACATTGGATCTCTGAGGTACATGAGGAAGGACAAGTACGGTGGTCATTTTAGGACATCCTCAGTTCTCGGGAAAAAGTTGTCAGTTGCTGCAAGTCTCTGGTTACATATTTAAAGTTTTCAGATGCTCTAAACGGCTTCATTACTTAAACATACGATCTACATAGTTTTCCCCAGAACAAACATTGACGGTTCAAGCCCCGGCTCCGACTTTCCATGTCGTTGTGTCCTTGGGCAAGACACTTCACCTGCATTGTCTACTGATGTTGGTCAGAGGGCCCGGTAGCACCAGTGTGCAGCAACCCCGCTTCTGTCAGTGAACCCCAGGGAAGCTGTGGCTACAATGTAGCTTGCCACCATCAGCATGTGAGTGTGTGTGAATGGGTGAATGACTAAATGTAGTGAAAAGCGCTTTGGTCAAGTCTCCTGACTTGAAAAAGCGCTATATAAGTACAGGCCAGTTACCATTTCTTATGTTTTGAAGGTCCATCGTTCACAAATGCAAGAAGTTTGAAACCACTGGGCTCTTGCTAGTGCTGCCTTGGAAGTCTAAACTAAACCATCTAGGGAGAAGGGCCACAGTCAGGGACAATCACTCTGTTCCTCTGTGAAGAGAGGAGAAGCTTCCAGAAGGAAAACCATCTGCACATCAATCAGTCAGGACTGTATGGCAGAGTGACCAGACCAAGGCCCCTACTTGATAAAAGCCACTTGGCAGTCTGTTGCCAAAAGGCATCCGAAAGACTCTCAGTCCATGATGATACAAAATTCCCTGGTGTGGTGAGGCAAAGCTTGAATTCTTTGGGGTGAATGCAGGGCATCATGTTTGCAGAAAACAAGGTACCACTCATTACTGGGCCAGTGGAGTCATGGAGGCATGAAGGTGGCATCATGCTATGGGGATGTTTTACAGCAGCAGGAACTGGCAGATGAGTCAGGATAGGGGAAATGCAAATGTAATGACGTACATAGAGATCCTGGATAAAAACCTGCTCTAAAGCACTCTGAACTGGGGCAACAACCCAAAGTACATGGCCAAGAACTTAAAGGAGTGGCTGCAGGACCACTACGGGACCTTCTTAGGGTGACTGAAAAGGAATTCAGACTTTAATCCAATTCTACATCTCTTGAGATATCTGAAAAGCGCTGTGTACAACTGTCCCATCCAATCCTGAGGACCATGAGATACACTGCAAAAAAAAGGCAGATAATGAAATACCCTTAAAACAGACTTACGGTTGTAATTCCTGCCAAAGGTGGATCAAAGTTTTGAGCAAACGCTGTTAATACCTGAGTAAAATCTGTTTTCTTAGTTTTCAATTTGTAATTTGCAACAATCTCCTAAACGTAGCCAAACTTATCTCCACTCATCTCTGTCTTCTTGGCTCTATTTTTTAAGTTATTTAGCAGCAGCCTCATAGACTGAGTATTTGAACAGCTACTCATATCTGATTTTAGTTTATAACATTTAAGACCTTTATGACTTTTTTTAATACCCAACAAAAAAGACGTCTTAAATCTCCATTGAGATTTATAAACAGATATGTAAAAGAAAGGTATAAAAAAGAAAGGTAAAAGAGGAGGTTACAGTGGTTTAAAAGAACACAAAATGGAAAAAAATATGTAAATGGAGTGAAGCAATACCACCAAGTTGTTGAGAAAACCTACAGTCATGATTAATAAATTATAGTGTGTTAAACTAAAGCAGTATTTTTAATTAACTTTTAAACAGGTATTAAACATACTTTTTTACTAAACCAATAGAGAGAACTTTTAGACAATATATGGAGAGAAGTATTGGACTCTTTCAACAACATAAAAAAAAAGAACAAGATACCAAAAAAACAAAACTTGATTTTTTTGGTGAGAAACAGCAGATAAAAGGCTGTAAATGTGTCCAAAATGTTCCCTCCAATTGAATAACTGCAAAGAGAATGTTTTGGCTGGAACCCTCCCCTGCTGTCAAACATGCATAGATATTGAGAAGTTTATTAATCTAGAGGAAATCAAATAACGCAGGAGAGAAATGCGAAAAAAGTCGCTAACAAAAGAAATGCTTAACAGTTTATTACCTTTCAAAAGCAGGTGCGTTTGCTTCGAATCCCCTTGACAGTTTGACACGATGTGAACCCACCTGCAAAGACACAAACAACAGCGTCCTTATTTGATAGATTAAAAAAAAAATTCAATGCATATGGTGAGGATGCCCCGAAAACCTGAGAATGTGGAAAAGACATGGGTGCAGCACTGGAAACAGACAGATGAGGTCTCAGCTGACTTTAAAATAGAGACAGAATAGAGTGGGACAGGAGCAACATGGTGACACTGAGCAGCAGAGAAATCTCATCATCTCTCCAACACCTCCCTTCCCCAGATCATAGTCTCGCTGTTCCATCAACAAATCTAATACAACCAGCTGGCACCGAATCAGGGAACTCAATTCAAATCTGTGCAACTAAACCTACTGAGGCTTAGCAAGAACAGCTAACACTAGCAGCAACAAGGAAGTCTGTTCCCTGTTGTCTCTTTGATACTCCCATCAACGATATATATGCTAGTGGAAAATCATTTTCTACTCTTACTTCATTTCTGTCTGTATGGAAACCACTAGGATGAAAGCTAGTGGTAGCTTCTTTGCAGTTTGCATAGATCTATATTTGAACAGTGCGGTTGTAAACCACACTGCGGCCATTGTGACTCCTTTTCTTTCATGCCGGTCATGCAGGTCCAGCGGCTGCATATTTAACAACTTCCTGAGAGGATATCTGAAACCAATCAGGCTGTTGTGGGACAGTCCAGACCTGAACTCTGTCACTTAGTTTATAACATAAAAACAATCAGCAAAATCTTAATAAATGCAATCTTTTACACTGTCAGGTATTGAAGATAGATGTAACTAAAACTCATCTTTGTTAGCGTAGCATGACATTTGCATCTTTCAGCATGTAAATTATTTCCTACAGAGCCATAGTTTTAGCTCAATAAATTAGAGCGTTGTTTAAAATATGTATTTTGTGGGATCTAAGAACAATTAGAAAAATGTCAGAAATCCTAAAAGCAAATTTTAAAATAAATGTTTCGTTATGGCCAACTGAATCATCAGGAAGGTGGTCGCATGTCGTCCAGCAGACGGGCGCCAAACCATCTGCAAAGATGATAAACCACAAAACGCAGTATATAAAAAATAAGGTTGTTCACAGCACTTAGATTAAAAAGTTGAGTGGAAGGAAAAAGTGTTGTGGAGAAAGAGATAGCCTTTGAGAGAAAGCTTCATTTATATCCTATATCTTGTAAAGCCACTCTTGAACAGGTCAAAACATCTCTGGACCACAACAATAGGTCTTCTGAGTGAAGAAAACTGTTCAGCAAACTGACCTAAACTAAAGTCTAAGAATGAATCTACGGAGGATTGTGAAATAAGAGACCAAAATCCAACAATACAGATGATCGCTATAAGAGCTGCTTGGGTTTCGCTAACAGCTCAGTGACACCACAAGCTGATCACCCTTAATACTATGTAGCACTGCTGCAGTAATCTAAGCAAAATGAGGTGTATGAACAAACTGTTCACAAAGAAAGCACTTTTATATTTCATCTATAAGTTATAAATATCAAAACCAAGAATAAGTTCAAGATGTTCTGATTTAATAAAAGGCATCTGCATTAAAAATACAACAATGAACGTGACTTTAACTACTCCTACTGACTATCTTGCCAGGTTTTTGCATTGCATAGCTAATGATAAGAACGCTAAATTACAGTTTTTTTCTTCTTCTAGGGGTAGCAAATATTTGGAAGAAAACTCAACCTTTAAATACAGCTAAATTAACCCCTCCTGCTCAGGTAGTTTATCAGAGGGCATGAAGAGGATAGCCTACAAGCCACGACGGGTAGAAGGGGAGAGCTCAAAAGGTGCGTCAAAGCAGGAGGACTACCCTTGTGTCTGAAAACAACCCCAAGCCCACTAATTTGTGTTTTGAGTAAAGTGGCCTTGAATAGGTGTCTGATACAGTCTTAGCTTCCTGCAGCAGATTGCTGTTGTTAGAGGTTAACGTGGATCCAGCTGCTGTGGGAATATTGGAGAAAATCAGATGAAGTGGTTAGAGGTTGTTTTCAGACCAGACTCTCTCACCTGACCCAAGAAGTCTGGGAGCTGAGAAAAACAGAAAAAAGGCCCTTTACCAACCACTATTACTATCATTAACCTCCCCCACGTTCCTATCTAAAGTACCAATCTGTGCAATGTCAGGACGGGAGCAGACAAACTGGAGTAAGGCTGCTGTGACACGGTCGGCTGTGAGGACATAAATGGAAGTTGAGATATGATCAAAATGGTATTTCCTGGACAGGTGCCTTAAAGAGGAGCGGAACTAAACATTTATTAGGAAGCTTGACATTTGATTTTCCACCCATAAACTCTGACATTGCACAGAAGAATGCCTATCTGCAGCAATAAAGCAGCAGCAAGAGCAGCAGAGCCCCCACCCACCCAAAAATTATATAAAAAAAAATACAAACAAACAAAAAGAGACGCAAAACAAAACTGAACAAAAAAGGTTATACCAGGTGGGGGTTTTCATCCAGTCCATTAGGGTGCCGATTCTCATGTAGGTGCAACAAAACACCCTTAATGGACTTTTTCTGAACACAGCGACAAAAGGAGTTAAAACTGGTATAAAGGCATCTGCTGTGAAAACAAGGACTTGTTTTTCTGTTTAATTTTTATGTAACTAATGGGTGTTTGTTATTAAATACCACTGTACATTTGGTTGCTTCATACTGGACTTTTTTAAGCTTTCTTAAGCTATAAATGGGACAAATTGGGAAGTTTTCTTACCTGCTAAAGAGATGTTCCCTACAAACCTGTTATTTATAAAAAGGTTCTCTATACTTTACTTAAAATCAGCCATTAGGAATATTTTCTTTAACTTTATAACAAATAACATCCACTAAAAAGACTGTTCAGGGTTATAATATGTGAAATTGAGTAAAGGTTTCATAACAAACACAACATGGAAGCAGGAATGAATGAAATAGGAGGTGCCAAGACCCTGACTGACTGGGAACCTTAGGAGAAACACTGCAAACACACACTGTCACAGGAAATGATATTGACTGTCCCAACTATGGCTGCAGCATCCACTATCACTTATCACAACTGTCTCCTGAGTTCAATAAAAGCCTGACATAATCGATGGTGCTATATGACACTTTCAGTACCTGGATTCCCGGCTGTTCCCAGAAAAGAGGAATGGAGCCCCGGATCTGGATGAAGGAGGAGACTTTATCATCCAGGAAAATAGCCTTAAAAAAAGGAAAACGTTTGTCACACGACTAATTGATCAGATGTTTTAAAGAACATTCAGAACAAGAAAGAAAGGCAACATAATTAGGCTGATAGTTTATTCGCTAAATTCATTTAGTAGACTTTCCAACAAAAAAATGATTACAATGATTCTCCCTTTTATCAGAAGAAACACAAAGGTAGAAAACCTATAATCATTTAATATGAAAACAAGATTAAAATCTGTCGACGGAAACTTGGCAACACATTTAACAATAAAATAAAGATTTGAGATTCTCCAAGAAGAATAACTTTAAAAACTCAGTTTCATGTTTTGAGTATTTACAAAAAGTCTATCATCATTATTGAAAAGTAATATTTATATGTATAAAATGTATTGACTGATATAGAAACCGTTGACTTATGATGTAATAATTGTAGTTACCAAAATAGTCTAATCCGCAGGGTGCGTTAAACATAAGCTACAGTTTGCAAAGAAAAAGCGCTAAAATTAAAGCCACATTGCAATAGATATAATATTGGAAGGTTTAGTTTATAGCAACTTAAAAATGGACTGACTGGTTTACAGAATGCACCCATTCAGTAATCTAAGCAGCCACTTTTCAGTATGGAAGAGCTGCGACTAACCTGTTCCGTCTCCACAAAGTTGGCCACTTGCCCGTCATCATTGGTTCCTCGGACATTGAATCGTGTCCCGGCTCGCTCCGAGCTCAGGCGAGAGAAGATGCAAGCCTTGGCCTGTTTGTGGCCTGCGTAGATAGTCCTGATCTCCACGCCGCCGCACATCAGCCTCAGCAGCCAGTCATCACAGTTAACTCCATAGTGTTTAAGGTGCAAGTGCAGAGACTGGTTCCTTGTTATTTATAAAGAGGGAGAGAGATCTAATTAAAAAAAATAGAAAATAACCCAGCAGAATCCATTTTTGCATATATGCTAGCTTTCTCATTCCAGGTCATTTGAAAGCCAAATATATGCCTAAAGGCCTTTCTATGAACTTTAAATAGTTAGATTTTAAGGTTGCTACCAAAAGAAGCGGTTGTCTGTGGTGTCCTCTAGAATCCTGCGGTGTGCGTTGAGACTTAGGTCCATGCTGGCTCCAGTGGAAGACCAGGCAAAGTAAAAGTGACCGGAGTTTAGGACCTTGCGGACCTCAGCAATCCTGTCCTCATCAGCTGGATCATTCTTCAGTGATATAAAGTCTGTCTGCGTGACCCTGAAGACCTCTGAATCCTGCACCTTTCCTACAGAGCTGCATCCAGTCACAACCACCAGACTGTGGAGCATGGAGTCACCTGGAATATTAACAGAACAAAAGCAGGTGGTTAACTGCAATTTGATGCAGTTCTGCTTAGGAGGAATTCAGCAGCCAGTCTAATCTCAGCCCTCCAGAAGACTGAGCTTTAACCTTTCACGATCCTGGTCCCTTGTTGTGATAACAAGAGCCTTCCAGGTCGTACGTGGGATGGCAGAAAGCAGCTTATGACTAACTGACACGAACCAGAGGGGCTTTATAGGTGCACTTGACATTAGCCATTTAAGGAAAAGTCATTTTCTGTTTTCCTACCAAGGTTAAGCCGGAGAACTCCCAGAATTCCATATGCATCAAAGATCCTGGTATAGGTACTTTTAATGGTCTCCTTTTCTGCTGCCGCTAGAGGAGAAAGAAAAACATAATTAGCAGGACATCCTAAGTGTCATACTACCACTGAACCACCCAAGGATGGAGTTTAAAGATGAACAAGATGGCTCACACAAAACGGCAACAGCTCCTGATTCGAACATGAGACATTCCTCCCTGGTCCTCGTTTCCACTATGACACTGTAAGGCGGTGGATCCAGCTTGTGATAAATACGATATCCTTTGCTGAAGGCCATGGCTGATCCAAGGGGAAAATACTGTTTTTACCTGGAAACCAAAAGAAGCAAATAAACTCCTGTGTCAGGCGTCCACATTTTTAAGATGAAAGGTTAGTGAATAACTTTTTTTCTAAGGACTAAAACATATGAAGAGGAAATCATGGACTGCAGGATGTTGGATGGATTTTAAATTATGATAAAACAGAAAGTAATTCAATTAATATGTTATATTATTAATTCATTAAAGCACATGTCCTAAACTTGATCTGTTGTTTTTTTTTTTAAATCAAACTCACAAAAGCGCAATTTGCAACAAAAAGTCTTAAACATTCCCCAAAGGCTTTGGTACATGTTGATTTAAGCGCAGCAAGCAGTTGCAGCAGTAGCAGTTTTTTTGGCTAAAATTTAAGATGCATTTCTCAACGTTCCATCACATCTCTGAGGCGCTCCATTGGACTAAAATCTGATAACTGTAAAAGACTTCCAGTTCCCCCATCACAGGAACAGGAGTATGAAGAGGCCTGCACAATTAAGACTATACAGTCTTAAAGGCTTATTATATTGTCCAAAGGGTAAATATCCACAACCAGCAGCCCTAATGGTGAATGTAAAGCAGGATTCATCCAGGATTTCATATCAGAGCCTACAATTATATTTTTTCAGCTATTTTTGGCTTTCTATTACTGCTATATTGACATCAACAAAACATTTTCATCCAACCTTCACTCTTCGAGTTCTCTTTTTTGGACTATAATCCATAAACAAATCAGCCCAACTTTATCAAGCCAAAATGCTGAAATCTAGAGTTGATACCACAATCGACTGACTCACTATGTTAATGAGCAACTGACAAAGTTATCAAGGACCTGTTAAGTGTATGTTCAATTATTTAATACATATTCACATTGATTTTAAGAATGTTAGGTCAGTTTTTTTGCAGTTTGTGCCAGTTGCTCTGAAGCTGGATCATGTCATTTTAAATCCAAGGCTAAAGGTCATTGGATAGACAAATTACTATGAAACAGATAAGATCAGGCCAACTGCAAATCATAAAGTTGGAAAACAAAATAATATCTTTCTAAAGGTTTCCACATCTTATCAAATATCCTGCTCTGATTCTGAGTAGGCCAATAAATCTAGTCAAGAGTGAGACACTGCATATGTGTGAGCAGAGCCTACAGAAGAGAACCAAAACACAGCACCTGATGCTTTACATAATACCTTTATCTTAGTTACCTATTGTACCAAAGAGATCAAGTAGAAGGCTGGGGTTAAATCTATATTTATACACAAACTTCATCCTGTTTGCAGCTTGTCTCAAAAATGATCTAAATCCTCACCATTTGACTCTTAAAAACCCAGCTTGCTTTATAAACATTGAAATAAAAAAGTGACAGTTTGCTGCACTTTGAAACGTTTCCCTAAAAGTGAAAAAGGAGAAATCTGCCAAACAATCACAGGAACAAGAGAGAAACTAGGGTGCAAAGTCAAAGGGAAAGTGGGCGAATGGTGAGGGGACTGCCCCCCCAAATACAACATTACAAACCAATATTTATTTTACCAGAAACTGAGAGATAGAATGAGATGGTTGACGTTTAAGTTAAGGCCGGGGAAGTAGCAGATCATCTTCCCTGACTCTGATAGTCACGACTTGGCAACGCAGCTGCAGAAGACGAAGCAGGCGCTAACCTACCAGCTAGCAAAAAATGCTACATTTTTGAGGGATATAAAGCAATCAAACGGAGTGGATGAATTACTCTCATGTAAGGAAAGTGTTAGCCGTTCTTAACAAGCCTACCAATAGCTGGTAAGGTCACCCAGGTTAGCCAGATTAAATCACAGTGACAGCTATGATGATTCGCTAGGTTTCAATATTTTGATGGTGGCACTATCTCGGCGTCCCGGGGATGATAACTACCAGTTACTAACGGTGTCTTTAGCTATCCCTGATAACATAAAACATACACGCCCGTATATAAATGTTAGCTTTATTTGTTAACTGTCTGCTTTAATTATTATAATCGGAAATAAGCTACCGTATATCCCGTCTTACCGTCTCCCCACCGGGTAGCTGCTCAACTGTCACAACAAAATCCTTCCCGGTGTTACGGCCGTGTTGGAGCAGTGGTATGTTCCACGTAAAGCAAGCCACGCCCATCTGACGCTACCGTAATCCTTCTAACACAATATCTGGAGAGATAGCAAGCTGAATACCTGACGGAAGTACCTTTAAAATCCTGCAAGAAACTCTAAAAAAATAAACTTTGACAAATATTGTAAACATTACCGGTAAAGCTTTAAAGTAACGTCTGTTAACTGAAATTAATAGTTTTAAACAAGGGGGAAATTATACTCGTCTCCTTTAAACATGATGGACAGTTGATTTCATCCAATCAGGACAACACTGCAGAGTTCTCCTCCAATCAGATTATAGAAAGAGGCGGGGCGACCGGCTTTCATAACCATGAGCATCTGTGTATATAAGATAGCTTCAGCTCTTTTCGTAAACACGGCAGTGTGAGGAAGCTATTACTTAGCAATAACATGATCGGTTTGGATATTTAAGCTGGTAAGTGTTGTCATTGCACGGTCTAAGCTGATATATTATGATTGTAATAAATACTGCGCGGTACTACTTTTGTTGTGCTATCTCTATCTACATGATATTGAATTGACCCAGCTCATTTTGCTGCAACTTCAGGTCAATTATAACACAGTGTTATTAAATTGTGTCATCTCCTCTACTGAAGGACGTTTGATTTCATAAAAAAATATTTTAAGCGATAATCTAACGATAAAAACGATCACATAACTTTAGCCAAAATGTTGTTACGATATTACTTAATCGTGAACTTACTTAGTTGAAGTTTGAAAGAGGAAAATAACGTTTTTTTTTTCTTTTTTCCTTGTCATCCGTTGCATTAATAGGGAAATCTTTATGCATAAACCGCTTGAAGATTAACTATGGATCAGTGTTTTAATTTAAAGCTATTTGTCAGACCTTTTTTTGCATGGTTAAATCATCAATGTTAGGCTTTTCGGTTGTTATTTGGTCTGAATAAAATCCATAAAAGTGGGATATATCTCAAAAGTCAAAAGGCATGGGCGTTGCTTTGAGTCTGTTTATTTTTTACTGTAATTTTTTTTCAGTCTTTTCTTAATAAATCCCCTGGGTATAATTATTAAACTATACTCTGGCCATACTATAACATTTGTATCACACCTTTGCAATGTGTGATCTTAGCAAAATTGGTAAACATCACAGTTTTAGTTGAATATAAAACTTAGTCACAATAGTTTCCTTTATGGAAATCAAATTAGGTTAAAATGAGAAAAGGTTAAACGGAATTTCTTTTTAATATTGACTTTTTTTTTGCTGTAGACAATCTAACTATATTTTATATAGAAACACACAAAAATCACCAAACTGAATTTTTTTAATCCATTTCATACTTCAAAATACTGTTATTTCTAAACCATTTGAGATAAAGCTGTTATTTTGATATATTAGTACCAGTTACCATTCAAAAGGGAAGTGTGCCCACTCTCACAGTTTGCTTGCACTCAAAATCCATAAAGGTGTCCACTATGTTGAGTAGAATATTGAAATAAACCTGCTTCAGTCATGTAAAGTTGATCATCTACCATCTGTAAAAGATGTAAATGTGTTTCAGAATCTGTGTTTGATGTGTTTCAGTTCTCCTATGGTCACTTTTCCAACATGGTTTTTATTAATACTACATTAGTAACCGCTAACCTTCCTCTTTTGATGTCTTTTTTTTTCAGCTTTTATTGTCATTACACGTCACAAGTACAGAGCAACAGAATTAACTCTCTGCATTTCACCCATCCCATTGGGGAGCAGTGGGCTGCCATTGCAGACATCCCAAGTTCCAAAAACTCATTTCAGGGAGGCCCCATACATACACACTTAAGGCCAGCAACTTCTTCTTTATTAACTAACAGTAATTTCTTAAACACAAAACAGAACAGTATTGGTCTTTTATTTTTAATTTTCAATACATTCAATCTAGCAGCCTTGAACATTGGTTCTGCTTTCTGTTTTTCATGGACTTTAGCATACAGTGCACCTCGCCACGGTGTCATCCTTCCTCACCATGGCCGGTTCTAGACAGGGGCCAACGGGGCCCAGAATTTCTAATGATGATATGTGCTGGAACAGACATGGTTACTGATTGGTCCTTTGGATCTATTTCATTCTTTTTCTTTACAAATTCTGTTTTACTAATTATTCAAAAACAATAAGGTGATAGCTTCAGTGGTACTGAGATAGTTTTCATCTGCTACATGTTTTCTTTTTTTCACAGCAAATTGAAAAAAAGTCCTCTAATATTTACAGATTAATTTAACAGTTTTTCTTGAGTTCTGATTCAATTTTGATAGAAAACAGTAGTTTTAACTTAAATTAATTAAAAAAAATGTAAAATTCCTAAATTATATATGTATATAGAGCTAATAAGAAATAGAATTTCTATTGAACCTAATTGAAAAGAAGTTTCACTTCATGCAGCTATATTAATATATTTGAATCCCTTGCCCTGATTATTTATTTCATGCTTTTCTGTGCCCCCATGAAAACATGCTGCCCCCCTCCTGGCCTACATTTGGTCTAGATCCACCACTGTTCCTCACCTTCACTAGACGTGGATATACTTTAGTAAATTCTGCTGTAAAATTAGTCTGATATTTTCATTTTTTACTCAAGGATTCAGCCTCTGCCGTTTTACAAGATGCACAGCTTTGAGTGGTAACTAGGTGACTGCCAGAGAGTAACCAGAGAAACTTATCGGACTGATCCAATCAGCTCTCTGACAACCAGTCGCCTGGAATGCTGGTTTAACAGAGCATGGCTTTGGACAGATACGCTGCACAGGTTTCACCAGCAACCTCCTCCCCAAACCCCACACTCTCTTGTTGTCTGCGCAATCGAAGTAGTTCTAATCTGCACATGATGCATGAATTATTTCCTGCACGCTCTCACTTGCATAAAAAAAACACCACCTTGCAGAGTGTAAAATCCGGGATAATTTATCCGACTCGCGGGCATTCGTGAGCAACTATCGATATCAGGGAGACTCTCTGAACTTCTGGGAGACTTGGGACGTCTGCCATTGTTAGGCAACCTGGGAGCAGAGTGGGGTTAAAGGTCTTGCTCAGAGACCCAGAGTGGTAGTCTGTAGGAGTGGGGCTTGAACTAAGAACCGCTGGATTTCAAGCGCAATGCCCAAACCACTAGGCCACCACTCACCTTAAAAAAATATAAAAGACCTTTATTAATTTCACATGGGAGAAGTTCACTCTCTGCATTTTAACCCATCCCCTTGGGGAGCAGTGGGCTGCCATCGTGCGGCGCCTGTGGAGCAGTGTAGGGTTAAGGATCCCAGAGTGCAGGCTATGAGGAATCGAACCGGGTACTTGCAACCTTCACAGAGCACAAGCACACTGCTCTAACCACTATGCCAACACTCCCCTTAATATCATTAGCTGTAATTCACATGGAGTAAAAGTCCGTAATTTATTTCCCCCATCAAAGTGCTTTAAAAATTGTTGCATTTTCTATAATCCTAAAGGAATTCCGTGATCTATTCTGGTTCCTAATGATCACTGTTTCTATTGAGAGATAATTTATACCGGTGAAAAAAAGGCTAGAACCTATAGAGATTAGTCTCACAGTTTCCGGGCTTTCATATCTAAATATAATTTTTTCCTATCCTTTTTTTCAGGAACTTTAATTTATCCTCTTCAACATGAAGCGGCTTTACCTGGTGGAGCCAGTGGTGGCTCTGTATGCATTTAGCAGCTTTCTCACCTACCCTCTTGTGCAGCAGTATGTGTACAGGCGGCTTTGGCAGCAGCTGACCAACACCACCTATCCTGTGTCCGACAACACCTCCAGATGTGCTCCAACTAACAGGAGCAGCAACCACACTGACTTCCATAAGGTTAGTTTAGAACTACAGGCAGTAAAATGATGCATCCATCGCCTGGAATTCTCTCAGATAATCTTATTTAGAACAATTTTAGTTGGATTTTACATTGAGCTAATAAAGCTAAGAATAAAGTTTCTATTCACAGTAAAAATAGAACATCTGATGAGAAACTTTTTGGCATCCTTGGACGTAATAAAGTGCTATATAAGTAAAGGCTGTTTATTTTTTTACCATAAACATTTCTAGTCTTCCCCATAAATGGATTTCAGGACAACCAACAGCATTTAGGAGTCACATAATAAGTATTTAGATTGAAGTTTGTTGTTTTGATACGAAAAAAAATAGAGTTTGTTTCATTTATTGCAACATTTTTTTGTTGTTGTTGTAAATAACATCAGAATCATGTTTTTGTAGATACATGTAATCAATAGCTTATCCCTCTGAGCTTGACTTTGACTCTCTGAACTAACAGCGTAGTTTCATGTCAGCCCTTCTGAGTTTGCAATCAGCAACTTACCTGAAACAAATAGATTTTAAACAGATTAGAGGAAGTATGCGTTGTTGGACTATCAACATTTTGGGACGTCATGCTGCCTTTTACTTTAAAAATAGAACAAGGAAGTGAAAGACGCTCAGACTCAAATAACCTGTTTTATATGTTGTTTTTCTAACTATAGACATTACAGCTGCTTTAACTGCACCTGCATAGCAGTGGGTTTTGTTCCATTTCTTTTTTCTCAAGCAAAACCTCTCATGTTCTCACATGTTTTGCCATCTCTGTCACTGGTGTTATAACCATGACCATGACTTTGCAGGTTTATTTTATAGATCTTTGGAGCAAATATTAAAGTGGTGTTGATCTTTCTTTAACTACCTGGCAGCTGACCAGAAGTCTATTTGATTTTCCCCTTTTAATTGTAAGAGAGACTTATCCATTTATTTGGAAGTATCTCTATAGGTTTTGAAAACCAATTCTCTCTCTGTCTTAAAGGGTATAAAAAATTTCATTATTTTTTTAGAAAATGAAATTACATAGCATGTCTGCTAAGCAAGTGACTGTATGCCTTCTATATTAGCAGGAGGCCCCACTACACTTCATACCTAACAACCAACCTAAAGTCTCAATTAATGTGCACAACTGGTATACGTACTCATTTTTTTTTACAGATGAATA